CTGACAGCAGTGTGTCGGGTGACACCATCACACTGGATTGTTGTTGATGATGTCACCAGTGCGAGAGGAATTGGAAGGTAAACAATGAAGAGCAACATGGAGGGATCCAGGACGTAGTCTGTTCCCACTGCCAATAAGACCCCATAGTTCCCGGTTTAAACAGGTTTTCCCGTCAGCGGGAAAGGGAGAACAGATTGTGTTGCCACCAGTGCAGAGCTTGGTCAAACTAATGACTAAAAGCATTGAAATAATTTGTTCATCAAGAATAAAATAAATTTAGCCTGAATGCCCCCCACACTCCCACCGATGATGAAGAACTCACTTGACGTTGGGACACTCGTCGCACACCGTCTCCTGGGTCATCTGGAAGCGGCCCGGTCCGAGCTGCGTCGTCCTCATCTCCTGCCTGCAGTTGCACTTCCTTTTACCAGGAGCCTCTTTGGCTACAGGCTTGTTCCGCACAACCTGCCAAAAGGGGAAAATCATAAAAAAAAAACAGTCATTAAAAGTTAAACAGACGGCATTAAAGGTCGTTAATGCAGAGAGGAAGACGCTCTTTACTCACCTCCACAAAGTTCCCAGAATACACCTCTTCCAGCGTGACCTCAAGGTCCAGGACTATGTCATTTCCTCTGGGGATGTTCCGGTCCTGCTGCTGCCGATTTCCTCCAAACATGAAGCCAAAATCCCCAAAGAAGCTTTGGGACAAAGGAAGAGGATAATATTTAAGACAGAAGAGCTGAAGATGGGATCCATCTAACAGATCTGCCACTAATGAGTCAAATATCTCAGAGTTAACAATTCTGAGATATTTGGAAGAGGAAGAGAATTAGAGCCACTGACAAAATTAAAAAAAGTTAACTTTATTTATTATAATATGGTAAAAAAGTCAGAATTCTGACTTTAATCTTAGAATTCCGACCATGAAGGAAGAGATTGTAGTAGGGAAGAGGATTGGTTAACTGATTTTTACATTTTATTTTGGGAGAAACTGAGACAAAACATCAGAATTCTGAGATTAAAGTCAAAATTCAGACTTTTTTCCTCATATTATACTGAAACAATATTTAATAAACATCAGTTACATTCTTTTATTTATCCAGTGGCCCTAATCCTCTTCTGTTTGCTTTAACAAAACCAGATCTGTCTGCAGAGTTTGGGTTATTCACAGTGGAGCTGAAGGTTAACCGTCCAACCAGAACATAAACACAGCATCTCTATCAGGCATCAGGGCCGTCTGATAGATTCCTGGGTTAAACAGTCCTTTACATTGATAATAAAAAGGGTCATGTTGACAGTAGGGAACATAGAATTCCATCCCTCTCTGTGGGATAGGGGGTTTAAAAGATGGGCTGATCAGGGTCTCTGTACAATCAACCAAATCGTTAAAGGAACAGAATTTAAATCATTCTCTCAACTTCAACAACAATTTGGCCTCCAATCAAATGATTTATATAGATACCTTCAGGTAATAAATTATATCACAAGTCATAAAGAAATCCAAAAGATAAAGAAGCGTACTTCATCAGCGTTAAAGAGAAACATGGCATTGTGACGTCTAATTATTGAGTTTCTGTCAGGAGATGTTATGTAAAATTACTCAAATGGTTAAATAAAAAAGATCTAAAAGAAAAACTTTATAAAAACACCACCGCACCCACCTGGAGAAGATATCATTGTGCGAACCGTGGTGACCTTCTTTGAGTCCTTCTTCTCCGTACTTGTCATACTGTTTCCGTTTCTCCTCATCTGACAGGACCTGGATGCAGAACAAGCCTTCAGCCTCATGCATGGCGCTCAGTAGTCACAGGTTTTACTCATAGTAGCTTCATCTGGTCTGTTCCTGTTTGGCTGTTTTTCCAGTGTAGTCCTGTTTCTCTGACTGTGACTAACTGGATGTGCTCTCTTCATCCTCTGACATGGGA